GGACAACGCAACTTAGCAGCATACAGTAATCATGAACATACTTGTAGGAACCAAAATAGCAGGTCTCTAGGCTGATTGATGTAGAATGACATCCCTGAGGCATTTACTTAGGCAACAATGAAGCATGTAGATAAATGGTGACTCAGTTAAGTAAGTACCTCATGAACAGCTTTAATTGAGAATTTGCCAACGAACATGAGCAGTTGTAAGTGGCTCTGCTGGATATGGGAGAGGTGGGTGGTGGTATACTCATGCATTGACGTATACAAGCGTAGATGTGAATAGCAAACACCATAAATTTAGTTTTTCTTTTCCTGTCTGTCTCAACAATATCATTTCCGTTTTGCCTATTGGCATCAACACATGCAATCCAACGATCTTTGAATATTGGTCTGTTTGATTTACTGAGTGGCTTTTTTTAAGCCATGCGTAAGCGCGTGGATTCAGACCACTGGAAGTTTCTAACTGTTATTAAGACAGAGCCACCTACTGACTCATTGGAAGCGAGAAAGTGACGTGATTGTGATAGCTAGGAATAGGATAACTCCTTCTACACGAGTCGCAAGGTTACCACGTGTCATTCCTGAACTTGGCCCCTTTCCTCTTCTCAAAATGTCAACTGGAGTGATTGGAAGATATCACTGCACAATTTGAAGATGCTGAATTTGACCATTCCAATAATGCTCTTGAGATAGACAATGAATATGTGGGGAATCTATGAATAATAGATTCCAAATGCTATTAATTCTTAGAAGCAGGTTTCAATGCATCAATCCTTTTACAATCGGCTAAGTTATGGGATTTTGACTTCTAACCAAATGAGGAGAATAGATCCCAAATAAATCAACAACTGATTTGAATCCGTTTCCATGAAGAAGATGTGAGGACCCGATAATGAAATGCTCTACAGTGTGGATCATATCAAACTCTTCAGGTTGTGCGCATGTCTGAGCATGGACGCTTACTTAATACATGGGAAATGCACCGTTGCAACTCACCAATCCAAATCTATCTGTAATAATTCGCCACCAGCAAAAGCATATATGATATGCATTCCTGCAGACTATGCTCAGTATTCGTTCAGACACGAGTTGACATGAGGTGATAATGATTCACTAAAAAGTAGGAGAAATGCACGTCAGAAGAGAAAAGAGAGACTGCGTAGAAATGCGGACATCATTAATTCGCAATATAGCCGTAGTTGAGTTTAGTGATGGCGATTGCCATGGCCATGCCCGTACATACACCAGCAATGATGTGGTTCCACATGCGCACTGAGAGGTCACTGTAGTGATGGAAGATGGCGAACACATCGAGAATTGTCACGAGGCATGTAAGCACTTTTGCGCTCACTTGCAGTCTGTGACACGCTGGAGTCAGAATCGATGAATGTGACAACTGCTTGAACGATGGTGACGATGAGGGAGAGCACAATAGTCGTTGTGAGGACACCCACCATAATTAGTGTCACGTATGATGCCTCGAGGCACCTCTGCCAGTAGAGCCTTCCACATATCCATCCATCGTTAGTGAAGGCCGCGATGTTGAGCAACAAGACACCGTAGAGTACAATTGTCTCACCTACGTTTACACTCATTTCTCTTGGACTTGCACTGATCACTCGCACTGATGCTGTGAATACGCTGCTCCACATGTGGCGCGTTTGTATGCACTGCGGTATTTCAGCGGGTGTTGAGTGAACTCACTTTCAATTTAGCTCTTATTGCACACGCATTGATGTAGCGCATTGCATCAATGAGTGTGATGTGAGCAGACAGCTACATAACAGATGCTGAGGATGGTACCCATCTCCATCTCCTTTCCCGCCATATCATTTGATGCAGTGTTTCATGATCTGCATAAATTTGTGTATATTTTGTTTTAGTAGGTATACAATACCCTTCAGAGCTCCCTGCGATTACTTCCATGTTCAGTCTCTCCGTGTCTTCATTTCCATCACCTTTAATCATCACATATAGCCTCGAATTTTTGTCAAACCTGAAGCGCCTGATTTTAGCTTTAGCGCCTAGACATGGAGTGGGATATATGATCTGCCGTAGTATATTTCCCATGTGTTAAGAGTCCATACTTAGACATACGCACTATCTAGACAGAAGATAAATTTTAGACCCTAGAGCAGTTCTTTTGCGGATGCTCACGCCTCCTTTCATTGAAACAGATTTCATCACATGCTGTTTTACTTAGAATCAATTCTTCTCAAGCAGTTAATCGTCTACATTTTATAACTAAGCTAACTGCAAAAGATTTGTTGTGGAATTCCTTATATCCTGTTGCCTATCATGGCGGTATTTTTATCAATAATAAAATTTATGGATGTAGTGCTGGCAAAACCCTAACTTGGAGGCCTTTGTAAGTGAATAAACAGTAAGACCTATGGCAACGGGCGATAATTATTACCCTATTTCCAAATCACACTTAATACTAGTCAATGGATTCTTTTAGAATGTTTGAGTATGGTTAAGAAACGTTGTTGCTAATGCTGCTCCTATTGGTCACCTTTCATTTAAAACTAAGTAGTTCTGACTATGGCGTTAATTTACCAACCGATATGCCATATTGCCCGATGTCGTTATCATCCGACATTTATTGCATATGCAAATATTTCTACTCCAATGGATTACACGAAACATTTTCCATCATTGCGATGTAACATTTTAACGTTTTGCCATTTGTGAATGCTTAATGGTTTAGGATAAATTGGCAGTGCAATCGTATGCTCGTGATGCGAGACACAAGGTTCGAGATTCAAGATCAGATGGGGTAAACGTGGAACTCCATGATCAACTAGATTATCAATTTGAGAAAACATTAAAGCAATTCACTAATACAATTGGGATTGCATTTTTACTTTAAGAATAATTAAAATGTTTCGACAAGTTGATTCTAACATATTTCATTAACTAACTTTAGGATTTGTTTTGAAATTGTTGACATGCTTTTGAAAACGTGTTTACGCCCATAAGTACGTTAAAATACCACAGAGCCTACCTACACACAAAGAATTAAAATAAGGTCTTCTCTTCATTATCATAAAAAATAATTGATTTTAAGAATTATTATTGCTTCAAAGCCGCTTTATTTCATATCCAAAAAGCACTCATTTTTTGCACATCTGACAGGAACATTGTGCATAACAATGAAATTGTCTCAAAATAGGAGTTGTGCAGAGGCACTGTGAGAAACAGATCAGTTTTGTCATGGAAAAATTCTGCTAGAGGAGAAAATTCAACACATTTGTTTTCACAACACTAGGAGTCTGATGCTGCCTTGTTGTTTGGTGACTTTTGCACTTAACCGCCACGAACGCATTCCAATGGCAGTAATTTTCTCCTTTTACATCCCACATGAAAGCAGGTGCGGTAATAAGGTGTGGGTATGTGTGCAAGTGCATTCAACAAAAAGCATTAGTCGGAATGTTCACGTGGTGGAAATTATCTTGGATTATATTAATCAAGTAGATGAATATTGAGGAGCAGTGCCACTTCGTGGATGATATGACGCCAGTGGCTGTCTTAAGTGTTGGTCCATGCAAAAAATGTGCGTGGAGGTTTTTCGCTGAGCAGGGTTTGTTGATGGAAAAGTCGGCCAGACGTTCCCTTCCAGGACGCTATACCACGAATTTGTGAAATTTTGTCTTCGCGGTCTTTTTTAGCGAATTTCTTTTGCATTCGGGCTATGAAAAAGGCATGTTGCAATAAATGCTAAAGTGATCGGCCCACAGTCAGCATAAGCGGAGATGTCGGCTCAACAGACAAATATTTTCTTGCCAGCTGACACTGTAAACTAGTTAAACTTCTACCATGACTGCCATTATGTAATTCTCGCTGAAAAAAAACTTAAGCCATTGACGTCATACTCACAGGATGGCTACCACCCTCCTCATAGTCTAAAATTGCTAGCTGTGCATTGGTGATTTCTAGGTTTAACACATGGTGGTGCTGATAAATCCGAGGTAATTCTCAACACGTTGCACTTCCAGAAAACAACTATCCATTGCAACATCACATTTCAGTTGTCCTGCTTGATGGCCTCCATGAAAACAGAATATGAAGCAATGCACGAAAATTCGTCATCCAAATAGGATCGCTTTTTTACTAATGTCAGGCAAATCGAACGTAGTCATAGCATGGAATCTCCTTAACTAGAACGATGTTATTATCATGGCCGAATTTCGACAACTCTCCTCTGACCTTTGATGGCACCACCAGCTCATGTGAACTGTAGGGCAGAAGGTCACGAAAACCGCACACACCAAACCAGTCGCAAACCATGCAGCTTCCTGCATTTTTCAGGACATCGGTGCAAAATAACATACCACGGACTGCAGGAAACGCAACTATTCATTCAATGATTATATGGAGCCTTTAATTCGTGAGTGGAAACCGAAAATATTGCAACCAACGATTCAACAGACTTGTGGAAGTAGTGAGAAGATAACCGCGAGCTTCTGCAGATAAATAGATGCTAGACAGATAGCAGGTAAAATGAAGTGATAGAAGGATGGATGAGAGAAAGTAAGCAATAAAGAGCGAATATGCGAATTGCCATATGATATGGCATGAGAGGTAGGACTGTCCTGAACAAAGGCCAGCCTCATTAACCCGCCCTCCTCTTCCATCCAGCCATTCGTGGTAGCGATCGTAGTGAATCATCATTTACCATGTGACGTTTGGATTCACTGATGCAAGCAAGCAGACCTTCTTGCCAGATGCTGGGTGGTGCATTATATCATGTAGTAAGTCACCTTTTTCTCACCAACAGCTGTTGATCCTGCTTGACCTATGTAATTTACTAGCCTATGGCTTATATTCTGTGCGCCAAGCATAATTGGTTGTTCCAGCAGATAGCTTTTTATACAGCCCTCATTTTTGATTGTATGGCATAAATATGTTAAGTCGTTACAGTGAATGCCAATTTTCCTCTAAAATGAATGCAGATGCAAATTCTTAACAGTAATTAAAGCGCAACCTGACGCATTAAAATAACCACCAATATGTCAGACGTTGTTTTGGCAGTTTCATTTATTTCTAAAGTTCAGCTTGACGTCTTTGTGACTGCACTCACGCACAGCCCGTGGATGATGCATGAGATCTAGCGGACCACATCAGAGGTAATCAGAAGTGGCATTGATTTAACGTCGGTAGGCTCTATTTTTATTTTCCTATTTATTTTACTGATGAAGCCGTGAAAGTAATGATAATAGAGCAAAAATGCGGAACCCGCTAGAAAGACACGATTAGGGGTCAAATCTCAGAGACGTTCTACGTCCGAATAAATTGGAAAGTTTGGATTGCTAATAAGTTGATATCATGAATTTAAGTGTTTTTGTCTAGGTAATACGAAAGCACTTAGAGAAATATAAATGGTGACTCAGTTAAGTAAGTACCTCATGAACAGCTTTAATTGAGAATTTGCCAACGAACATGAGCAGTTGTAAGTGGCTCTGCTGGATATGGGAGAGGTGGGTGGTGGTATACTCATGCATTGACGTATACAAGCGTAGATGTGAATAGCAAACACCATAAATTTAGTTTTTCTTTTCCTGTCTGTCTCAACAATATCATTTCCGTTTTGCCTATTGGCATCAACACATGCAATCCAACGATCTTTGAATATTGGTCTGTTTGATTTACTGAGTGGCTTTTTTTAAGCCATGCGTAAGCGCGTGGATTCAGACCACTGGAAGTTTCTAACTGTTATTAAGACAGAGCCACCTACTGACTCATTGGAAGCGAGAAAGTGACGTGATTGTGATAGCTAGGAATAGGATAACTCCTTCTACACGAGTCGCAAGGTTACCACGTGTCATTCCTGAACTTGGCCCCTTTCCTCTTCTCAAAATGTCAACTGGAGTGATTGGAAGATATCACTGCACAATTTGAAGATGCTGAATTTGACCATTCCAATAATGCTCTTGAGATAGACAATGAATATGTGGGGAATCTATGAATAATAGATTCCAAATGCTATTAATTCTTAGAAGCAGGTTTCAATGCATCAATCCTTTTACAATCGGCTAAGTTATGGGATTTTGACTTCTAACCAAATGAGGAGAATAGATCCCAAATAAATCAACAACTGATTTGAATCCGTTTCCATGAAGAAGATGTGAGGACCCGATAATGAAATGCTCTACAGTGTGGATCATATCAAACTCTTCAGGTTGTGCGCATGTCTGAGCATGGACGCTTACTTAATACATGGGAAATGCACCGTTGCAACTCACCAATCCAAATCTATCTGTAATAATTCGCCACCAGCAAAAGCATATATGATATGCATTCCTGCAGACTATGCTCAGTATTCGTTCAGACACGAGTTGACATGAGGTGATAATGATTCACTAAAAAGTAGGAGAAATGCACGTCAGAAGAGAAAAGAGAGACTGCGTAGAAATGCGGACATCATTAATTCGCAATATAGCCGTAGTTGAGTTTAGTGATGGCGATTGCCATGGCCATGCCCGTACATACACCAGCAATGATGTGGTTCCACATGCGCACTGAGAGGTCACTGTAGTGATGGAAGATGGCGAACACATCGAGAATTGTCACGAGGCATGTAAGCACTTTTGCGCTCACTTGCAGTCTGTGACACGCTGGAGTCAGAATCGATGAATGTGACAACTGCTTG